CAGGCTTACCAAGCACATAAAGTGGGGTTAACACCTTGAATAAATGTCTTATTGTCTAGGAGAGTAGAGAATCTTTTGAATTTTGGTTCAATCCATGAGCTATAGGATTTTTTCCCACCTTACTGTTTAGGGGAGTAGAGAATCTTCTGAATTTTTGGTTCAATCCATGGGCTATAGGATCTTTTCCCACCTCATTACACAGGCTTTGAATTTTAGAACTGGGACAGACCTTTAGAAAACTCAGGGTTGTTTTCTGACTTACCGAAGGTCACACCACTTGTCAGTGATGAGGCCAGCCTCGATTACAAAGCTTCTTAATCCTTGTCCATTGCTGTTTCCAGGAACCTGCCCTAGTGGAGTAAGTTACATGGCAAGGTGACAACCTTCTCTCTTTTTAGGTAGGAGAGTTTCTTCTTTGCCTTGCTAAATAATTAAACGAAAACAATGTTGTGGAACTAGGGACAGGGTGGTATTATGCTGCGGATAAAGAAGAAATTATAAAGTAAATAAAGTGTCTTACTTTCAGGGGAAATGAGACTGACTGCTTTTCTCCATCAAGTGCTCTCAGTTATATGTAAGAAACTGATATCTCCTAATCCTTCTACTCTTTGTTTTTTCCCTGTCATTTTAAAGTAACAGGGGGACTAAGATCTAGTTTAGTGGGTTCTAGGAAGCCTTGATGAAATTGCAGAGCAGCCCCTGCAGAGATGAGAGAAGGACTGGACCCTACACCACTTTTTCCTACCCTCCCTCCCACCATCCAAGAACAGCTCCCCTTTTATCTGCTCAGTACATTGGGGTTCAGAGTAGAGTTTTGTTCAAGCCAAAAAACATAAATAAAAAGTACCACTTAAAAAAATTTTTTTATGCACACCTAATTCAATCCACTCATTGAATTACAGTGTTGGAAGCTGAGACCCAGGAAGGTCACACTGAGTTAAGAACCAGGCGCTACCTCCCCTCCTTTGCTAATATCAAACCCTCCCTTTCCTGGTAACCCCGTCCCATTGCCTCAGGCTCACCTTTGACAACAACCTGACTCTAATCCCACATCCATCCAGCCACCGAGTTTCTCTGTTTTTTGCAAAGGACTTTTTCCTTCAGGTCAACCAAACCAAGGGATCCGATTGTTCTTTTACCTCGAGATTGCACCCATTGCCTGCTGTCACCAAACTCTGGCTGTTGTGAAGTAAGCCACTGTAATTCCGATCATTTGAAAGTCCTCGCTACAGTCAGGCTTTTGGTTTTTAGCAATGTTATTGTCAAGTTCAAGCCAGGCAGTGTTTTTTTAAAACAAGACCAATTGAATTTTCCTAGAAGGCAGGCTAGATTTTAAAAAGATCTTCTTTTACCCCTTAATACTTCCTAAAACTCAACTATTACCAAAGAACCAGTGATTTGTCTTGAATTGGGTTCTGTAGGAGGATAAGTTCCTAAGTGAAAGGGTACAAAATCCTTTTACCTTATCCAGGGCCGTGGTACCCCTAGGCAGCATCAGGTGATGCTTCAGCTACCAGCAAGGAGAGGACATCTGAGGGGGGTAAAAAGTGTGACAAAAATTTTAAAACAGTCTGATATTTTGTATTTGAAATCAAATCATCTAAGTAGTCATTAAAATCACCTAAGTAGTTATTACGAGGGGAAAATCTTTGCGACTTTAGAACTGTGTATTCTTTTTATTTCGAATTCCATCAGAGGTGTCACCTACACTCTTTCATCGCTGTGCCTCTGAGGTCTTTATCTGACCTGACCTGACTCATCATCCCTCAGGCTTCCCTCCCAGATGGAGGAGAAAACTGCTCTGAACAGTTTAGGCCTGGGTTTTGCTACTTCTAGTTGGGAAACACATTTGCCCCAGGTGAAAGGTATTCAAGAAATAGTTGGAGAATGAAGTCCCTTGTCAACTCACCAAACAGGCTCAGTAGCTCAAACTTCAACAGGGTCAATTTCCCCCCTGAATATGGAGATTGGCCTTAAGGGGTTTGCCCTTGAGTTCAACTCTCCTTTGGCGTGGCTTGGCTCGACTCCTGTGAAACAGGACAGAAAGCATTTATGGAGTTCGTTTTGGAACACAATAAAGGCCTACAAAGTAATGGATGGTATAGCTCTTCAGAAGAAATTCTGGCTAATTTCTACTGGGGCATGTTTGTATTTGACAAATGAAGGGTCCCCAACTCTGGAAATGAAAGATCAATTACCAAGAGGAGGTGGAGAAGGATTAAGTGTGTTTTCTTTACAATTTTTACTGATGTATTTTAGGAATTTGGTTCTCTCCAAGATAAATAGAGACAGAAATTCTAGTATTTATCTTTGTGGATATACGTCTGTGCAAATGATGTGTGATATTTTATGAGAAGGTGTGAACGTGTGTACAGGACTGAAGTGTGAATTACTGATATGTATAGGTAATTGATGTATGTTCACCATCTATGTGTGTTTCTGAGTGTGAATGCAATCCAAACAAAAATGTGAGTTTCTGAATGTTTGGGTACTGAAAAGGTTAAGCACACACAACCGAAGATGTTTTAATGAGTTCTTGGATATTTTAATAAGTGCCGTGATTTTCTTTAGATAAAGAAAGGACAGGAAAAAGAAATGGGCTACTCCTTTTTCTTTTGGTTAAATAAAATTTTAACAGCAGAAAGTGCAGACTATCAGCTATGGAATATATGTGGTTTAAATTTTTTTTTTTGTAGTGGGGAAATAATCACTCCTAGTGTGGATGAGAAATGAAACCTTCCTATGAAGAAGTTTCCTGTCTTTACTGCTGATCTGTGTGCCTGGTCTAATTACTAAAAGCTTAAATCTGGAGTGTGGGGAATTGAGGGAAGAAGTTCCTCTTTCAAGAGTAATTGGAGAGAAGCAGGCAAGGGGTGGGGAGAGCAGGAAGAGAGGGTGGATGATGTGGAAACCTTAACAGTTACTAAACAGGAGCTCAGCTCAGATTTCCTGTGATGAGTTCTAAGGCAAAAAGTGTGGTTTGGGTGAGTTGGTGACAAAGCTGTAGTTTTCTGCAAAATAGCTGGTAGAGGAGATGGACTCAGTAGAAAATTCCCTCTTCTGCTGGTTTGGTAGGAGCAGCTGGTGATCTAAGTCCCCATACCTTGGCCCCCTCAGAGAGCCACTCTCAGCCCCATGTCACAGGCAGGAGCCAGGACCAGTGGGCCACAACTTTCCCAGCCTAGGTGAGTGGTGTGGTCACCTGGAAAGCCCGTGAGCATTGGCTGCAGAGTAATGGACACTGGGCCTCATTGCTGACCTCATCTGTGTCTGGGTAGAAGGATGGGCACATTGTCCTCCTGGACTGGGGAGGGTGCAGGTCATTAAGTAGAGGATGAGGTGGTGGCTGCTGGCCTAAGGAAATGGTCTGCTTTTGTTTTCCACCCAGTAGGAAGTGGACCTGAATCCATTAGATTCTGGGCAGTTCAACATGACACAGTTTGAGCTCCTGGAGGCTCAATGCCGAAAATGCTACTTGTGTAGATTTGTGTCCCAACTGCCATTGTGCACTGTGCCCATCTTTTATGCATTTAAAGCCTGTCAGGCTGGTAATCTAAAGCAGAGGTCTGGAAGACAGTAATGCCAACAGACACGGGGAATAGTAAAGTGCACCTGTAGAGTTAAAAAATGCATGACCTGTTCCCTCAAAGAGTGAACACAGAAGAAAGACCCCATCCTGGAGGGTGGCTGCTGAGCCGTAATACATAATTCACAGGCCCATGCTGCTCCATGCAGATGGCAATATTAAATCGTGATTGATGCTAAGAGATGCACACGTCTCAGGAAGGTCTCCAAGAGGCTTCTGAATATTTCCAAGTCTCTTGTGCCTTTCCATCTTCTGTTCTACTGTGGTATTAAGTAAAGCCCCCCATTTCTTAAGAACCCCTGCTAGGGACTGCAGAAATTTGCTCCCAAATAGATGAGATTCTTCAAATGTCATCACCCACCTTTCCTGCCTTTGAAGGTCACCTCCTTCCCTCCTGGCCCACATAAAGCTGTTTACCTCCAGCCAGGCACTGTTGGGCAGGGGGAGCCAGCTACTCCCCTGCAGCCACCTTCCAAACAGCTGGATACGGCTGTACAAAGCAGCAGCACACTCTGGTGGTGGTGACCAGGCAGGAGGGACAGTGGACAGAATGCATGGAAAAAGCACAGGAGTCCATTCAGCACAAAGTACATTTGTTGAAATTCTGAGGTCAGAGCCAGTGGATTCTCCAGTACAGATTTTTCTACTCCATGTGTAATGAAATAATAAATCAAATTTGTGGTGTATGTGGAATTAAATGTTTGGGGGTTTTGCTTTTTCTTTAAAAAGAAAAAAAAAAAAGCTAAAATCACCCTCGAGGGCCTGTTCTGGCCCAAAGCTGAAAGTGCTGGTGTATGTGGAATTAAATGTTTGGGGGTTTTGCTTTTTCTTTAAAAAGAAAAAAAAAAAAAGCTAAAATCACCCTCGAGGGCCTGTTCTGGCCCAAAGCTGAAAGTGCTTCCTCTGCACCACGTGTAATTGTTACCAGACTCATTTGTGGGTCGGCACCACAAAACCACTATTGTCAGTTGCTGGAGCCTTGACTGCTGGCTGCCTGGGCTGGGCTGGGAGACAGCAAATAAAATGAAGGATTTATGAGATAAAGATAGAGATGGGAGATTTGAACGAACAGAGGAAGATGGGCCAGGAAAAGGCAGAGAGGCATGTTAAGTTTGCAGCCTTCTTGTTTTTTTAATCTTAGACCATGTAATTGGAAATATTTATGACCATGTTCTGGAATACTTTCATTTGTGTGTGTGTGTGTGTGTAGACGGTTGAGTAGGAGGAGAGATGAGCTGAAATAATCTCTTCCACTGAATGAGTAAGTAGGTTAGTCTTCTGGACTGCCATAAAAGGTCTGTAAAATAGTTTTAATCAGCCACTGGTAGGGAAGAGAAGCAGGGAGAGGGGGGAAAAAAAGAAAGCTGTAACAAAGACGAAAAAAAGTTCTCTGGATTGTTGCTTTCTCTTTCAGACCCACCCTGTGGAGGTCGTTTGAATTCCAAAGATGCTGGCTACATCACCTCTCCCGGTTACCCCCAGGATTACCCCTCCCACCAGAACTGCGAGTGGATTGTTTACGCCCCTGAACCCAACCAGAAGATTGTCCTCAACTTCAACCCTCACTTCGAAATCGAGAAGCATGACTGCAAGTAAGCATTATCCTGTTCCCCTGGGGTACCCTATCCATAGACTCACACTCCCCCTGACACATGCTCACAGCCCCCCACCCCCTCCCCATGCTCTTGTCACTGTCACCCAATGGCAGCACCCCTCACACCAGGAACTCCTGCTAACCAGTGGTGGATCCTGGCACCAGACCTCAAGATGTCATTCTCTTTCGAGGGAAATAAAATCCTGGTTGATCCCATAGTATGGAGGAAAGAGCCTTCTCAAGTGAAGAGTGTGAAGAATGCACCTTATCTTCAAAAGCTGGCAGTGGAGGAAAATTTCCATGTGGAGGCAGGGTGGTCTACAAAACCTCACCTCTTGACTTTGGGATTTACCTTCCCCATGGAGAGCTCCCCATTTCCACTGCCGCCACATGTAGGAATCCCACCAGCTTCCTTAATAAAATAGTAGCTGAATCCCCAAGTGGAGATTTCCTCTGCATCCAGCCGTGGAGGATCAGTGTGTTATTTTATGAAGTGGCAGCTGGTTTCCTTATATAGAGACTAAAAACTCTTAAGTCTGTACGGGTAGGTCTTAGCTTCGTATTGATTCTTGATATCTGAGCTGCACAGGGTATAGTCTCGAAGCTGGTGTTATGGATTTATTTAGCAAACACTGCTCTAGTGGTTTTACAAGTATTAATCTATTCAGTTCTCACAATGGCCCTGGCAGGTTGGTGTCATTATAGTCTCCATTTTGCAGATGAGAAAACCGAAGTACAGAGAGATTAAGTCAGTCAACTGAAGTGACTTGGCTGGTCTTACAACGTAACATCCAAGGTGGTTCTGCTGCCTTGGAACTGTGTGGCTTAGGAGATACTAAGTGGACATTTAGACATTTGTGAGTGCTTTAGAAATGACACATAACATTGAGGTTTCTGTAAGTTAAGGTGGGGAAGCGGGCAGCGTTATAAAGTCAAGAATGCGAATGTGCTTTTTACAGTCTAGTGAGCTCAAACCTAAAGTCTTTCCTCATTGAAACAAAAGTGAGAGTTTTCTGTGCAGAAGAGAATGTGCCAGTGATTATATTCTGCTCCAAATAAGTGCCCACAGTGTACCCTGATAGGTGTTCAGTGCTCCCGTATGATTAGTAAATAGTCTGAGCATTCCTTGTGACCAAGGCATTGTAAGTACTGAAAAATCAATAACAGAGCCAGCTGGCAGGACAGGTACAAGGGCGGAGGTGAAACTTCTGGCCTTCGTTTCTGAGTAGGCCTAGGTTCAGGCCAGTGCTTCCTCGTGGAGGAAATAAGGCCCCTCTTTAACTAGCACTAGACTGTGGGGCTCAGTGAACTGATGCCATTATTATCCTCCTGGGACTACTTTGCACCTATGTGATGGTTTTCTCTGAACAAGAGGTAGTCTTTGTCGGATACTGAAGGGTTACCCAGATGGATGCCTCATGTGACCAAGAGTCATAAGATGGAGTTTCTAACCCCAGATCCACTCTTGACTCAATGAGTGACACAGGGCAACTCATCAGTTCCTCTTTGTCTAAGTTAAATGCACACCCCGGATACATTTGCTCAGCATCTCAAGGCTTCCCATTCCCTAACAGTGAACTTTACCAAGAGTTTCTGTTAGAAGAGCTTCTGTATGAGGCATTCTGGGCCCTGGTTCCTTGGGCTGGGCTGCAGAAGTTTGGCACAAACTGAAGCATAATATACAGAGAGGTTGGGTCTGAGCTCAGACAAATTTGACTGCACACCTCTCTCAACTGAGGGCCAAATTCCATTATGCTTATGCCAGCAAATCTCCCAGGGAAATTGCCACGAGGTCATCTTATATATATTTGTGGTGGCAGAGGGAGAAGACATGATTTTGGGAAGGAAAAACTTGGGAGGTAGTGAGTGTGGCTTAAAACATGTTGGGAAGTCCAAAAGGCCAGAAAAACATGCTCCTGCCCTGCTTTGGGCTGCATGGTACGCCTTCCCCTCACAAGACTCAGCCCCAGGGATGGGGAGAACTCAGGTGGCTGGAGCCTCTGACAGCAGAAGTGACAAAGACACTGCCCCTTGCTGGAGTTGGAGAGCGGAAGCAGGCCAGTGACAGGGGATCTCCTGGCTTATCATCCTCACTAAGTAGCTTCCTGTTTTGCTCCTCGCTTCCCTATCCCATGCTTCTGGCTTGAACTTAAAAGGTCAAAAAGGTCAGAAAAAAAATCTTTCTGGGGTCTGTTTTCCCCAATGCCATGTTGTCAGAAAGGCTCTGTTGGGATTAAGTCTTATCTATTTACCCCTGTCTTTAATTCTCTCTCTTCCTCCCCTATTTCTCTCTCTCTTATTAATTTTTGTATTTAGAAAGACACATTTGGTTCTCTCAGCCTCTCAGTGTTCAAGGTATTTTTGACATTTGCCCCTGGCCATTTGCATTCAGAATCATTGGGCTTCCCCCTCCCCACTGCCTTATTTCAATTTCTTGTAAAGGAGACAATTAATCTAATTGAAGTCCTGGAAGTTCTTTCTTGCTCCTGCTCTCCTTCCCTCTTACTCTCTCTTGCATACTTCGTTTTCATTCCAAGGGAACTCCTGGGTTTGGAAAGCACTTACTATAACAGGGAATTAGCCTCTTTTTTCCTTTCATTTTCGGTGCATGTTTCAAATTGGATTTGGCTCTCAAGACCCATAAGGGGGATGCTTCCCAAAAGCAAACTGCCTAAAATGTCCTTGTGATGACAGTGCAGCAGCAACACCCTACTAAAAAGGGGAAATGAGTAAGAAAGTCAGTAAAAACAGCCAGCCCAGCTGTGGGGAAGGGGCAGCCAGCAGCATTCCTGCCCTCAGGTTTTCTCTTCTTTCTCTGTGCAGGATTAACTGCAAAGATTGCCCCATGACCTGGAAACGGGGCTCTGATAGGAAAGGATTATCCTGGGCTGTGGCCTCTAAACCCTTGGATCTCTGTACCTTGAAATGTACATCCCAAAGGTTGAAGCCGTTGTTGAGTAAACCCCAGACAGACCTTTCCCCCTAACTGCCGCCTGTTAATTTTATTCCATTTGAGTTTGCTGTCTACTTGGAAAATTTCACTCACAAGCCTCAGCTTTCTCTAAGTCAGTGCAACCCAGGGCCACCATCTCTGGTGAGCTTCCTCGACTCCCCCCTTCAGCCTCTCACAGGGATCCAAACCCTGAGCAACCACAGGCTGATCTGGGGCCTGGTCAGCAGCTGTGGGCAGAAATCAGAGGTCACGTGACACTGCCAAATTCCTGTGGCCGAGGGATGAGAGGGCTCAGGGCCATCTGGGCGAACGGAGAGAAGCTTCTTTCCCTGTGGAGCGGGGATGCTGGGATGCTACTGCTACTTGGGCAGACAGAGGCCTTTTGCTTGAGTCATCAGCCAGCAGTCTGAGTGTTATGGTTTGAGAAGCACACACACTAAGTGGAGCATTCTTTCCATCTCTAAAATTTTAAATAAATGTATTTTTTAAAACACCCACCTGCAAATGATACACAGCTTATTCATGAGTCCTCAAGCAGGCAGTCTCACCCAGGCAAGAGGCTCCACCAAATAAAACCGAAATCAGGAGGCTGGGTCCTTTTAAGAACTGGTCATTTTCAGGTAGATATCTTGAAAAACATGTTTCAGAAAGTGCAAGAGCCAGTAGGAAAACTTGAAAGAACATTTCTTAGGCTAACACCCTCACAAGGACATCTACACTAATGATTTGGATGTCTTATGTTCAGTGTAATATCCCATTTATCATATATCATTGATGCACAGTAAATTAGCAACCGCGTTAGGAGCTTTGTCCTTTGACATGGGAAAGTTTGAAACTATTTTCTGTGAGTACTCTCGCTGTCACTTCCTGTTATGAGTATGCCTGCCAGAGAAGTGGCCTCTTCTCCTGCCTTGTTTTTATTTTTATCGTGTGTATCAATTTTGCTTCAGAGGTCTTGCTCTCTATTGGGAAATTTGGTTCTGGGGTCTAAGCTTTGCTTCAAGCCCATGCAATCCCAGGGCCAGCATTTCTAGTTTGCTTCAGTCAGGCGAGCTCACCACAGAGGAAGGACTGGGGTGAGATCCCCAAGTGACAGAGTGTAAGAGCAACAGCACATGAGTGGAGTTCTCAGCACTAATTTAGCTGCTCCTGATCTTTTCTTCTGAATTTCCCATCCCCCAGATAATGGATATTTAAGGTTTGGGATATTTGGCCTCTAAGTGTCCTAGATAAATAAGGTGCTCTTCTGTTTATTTATAGCCAGAGGGGCCCTCTAAATCTGAGAAGATGTGTCTATTTCTCCCAAAGTAGGGGAATATCTTAGAAAGGTAGCAGTTTCCCAGCTTGCTAAATTGACCACAGTAAACAGAGGGGACAGACCAGACCTCAGTGAACTGGCCTCTCCCCACCCAGCCAACCCACAGTGTTTTCCTGTGCTCAGTAAACACCCTCCTCTCCAGTTAAAGCACCAAATACAATCTTACGTCTGCATGAGCCCCCTGGTTCCCAGTCCTCAGACTCTCTGTCCTTCCCCCCCGCCCCCTGCTTCGCTCTGCAGAGTCCAGGGCACACTCCCTCCTCTTTCCCTCAGTCTCCTTGCTCTGTCCAGTTCTCCATTATCGGCCTCTACTCTGAACTCCCAGAGCATTTGATATGACCCAAGTTGCTTGCTTCTTGTTCGTGTGTGATCATCTTGTGTTCTAAGCATGTAAATTCTCCAAGGGCATAGATCACATATTGCATTTCTGTAGTCCTACAGCACCTAGTCCTGAAAGGTGCTAAGGAGGTGTGTGCAGGTGATTGCTTTAGTGATATTTTTACATTGGAAATGCCAGCAAATAGGTCAGTGTGACATAAACCTGCAATGGAAGGCAGACAGATCTGTCTTCCTTATTCATCCATCTGAGGATATGGTTAAACAGTAGGAGGGTAAGTAAGATACAGGCTGTAAGTCTCTCACCAACAAAATGGCAATAGACCGTTCATTTATCAGGAAATAGGTATTAATCTACTATGTACCAAGCACAATGGCAGCATTGGGAATA